TGGAGAGACGCAAGAAATGGTTAAAGGCTGCACAATTAGAAAATTACGAACCTCCAAAGTCAGCTACAGTTTGTTCAGTCCATTTTAAAGATACCGATTATGAATTAAATAATACAAAACCGAAATTAAAAATAGATGCCATTCCATATGTATATATACTATTACAAAAATATTTTACAATTATTATATATATATATATAGATATTTAAATATTGTTAACAAATTATTCTTCTTTAGTTACTTGCTTCGGAAATTCAACCTGCAACTGCAATTGAATCTATTCAAGAAAATATAAATAATGAAACTGGTTAGTACAAATAAATGTGTCTGCTTATTGTTAGTAAAAATAATATTGTATGCACAAACACACAATAATGAATATTATTACAGACAAAAGTCATGAGAAAAATGTTAATACAAGTATCGAAGAAGATAACATGATTGATACATGTTCATGTAGTGGAACTCAAATGATACATCGTTCCACCAGCATATCTCCTGACAGAATAATAAATTCACCAATTAAAACTCAAATTCGTCGAGTGTACACACGTGAAATTGCAGGTGTGAAATAAAAACTAGCTGTAAGTCGTCACAAGCATAAAAAAGCACAAAAGAAAATATTAACACTGAAGACTGTGCTAAAAGATCTACAGAAACGGAATCTACTCAGACCAGAGGAAAGCGACATATTGCAACATTTAGATACAGGTACAAAAGCATTAGTAACACGTGCGATAAGAAAACAAAAAAATTTGCCTGTACATAGATTATATGAGGCTAGTGAACGGCAATTTGCATTGACATTACGCGCCAAAAGCATATAATTATGTTCGATACAAGTTTTATAATACGTTACCACATCCAAAAACGTTATTAAAATGGTATCGTTCGTTGGATGGAGAGCCTGGTATCAGTACTGAAGCTTTAAAAACTATTAAACAACGCGCAAATTCCGTTTCATATAGACTGGTAGGTGCCTTGATGTTTGATGAAATGGCAATTCGGCAGCATGTTGATTATTATAAAGATGGCTTTGTTGGTTATGCAGATTGTGGTACTAATGTGGAATGCGATACGACAAAAATAGCTAAAGAAGCGTTAGTATTCTGTGTTGTGTGTATAAACCAAGCATGGAAAAACTACCTATTGCTTAATTATTATTTGGTAAATGGGTTAACTACAGAACAAAAGCAAAATTTAACTGTACAATGTTTAATGGCACTACATGAAGTTGGAATGTTAGTGGTATCATTGACATGTGATGGTCTCTCAACAAATCTAAAAATGTTACAGAATCTGGGTTACAAATTTGATGTACAATCAAATAATCTTCAAACGTGGTTTAAACATCCATCTACCGACACCAAATTACACGTATTTCTTGATGCGTGCCACATGATAAAGTTGGTACGTAATGTTCTTGGTTCTAAAAAAGAACTTTTAGATAATGATGGAAATAAAATCAAATGGAAACACTTTGAAGATTTGCATCAATTGCAACAAACAGAGGGCTTACATCTCGGTAACAAACTTAGAATTAAGCACATTGATTTTTATAAAAACAAAATGAAAGTGAAATTAGCGACACAATTATTGAGTACGTCAGTTGCAAACGCATTCGAGTTATGCAAAGATTCGTTACAATTACCACAATTTGAAGATTGTACAGCAACTATTAAATTTACCTCTACTTTTAATGACTTATTTGACATTTTTAATTCAAAAAATATAAGACAACGTGGTTTTAAAAAACCCATAAATAGTAACAATTATTTAGAAATTACAAAAAAACTCGAAGAATGCGCAAAGTATATTAAAACATTGGTACTTGTTAAAGAACACAAAGAAGTGCTTAATTCAAAAGTCAAAACAGGTTTTCTAGGTTTTTTAATAGATATTGAAAGTTTGATACATATGTATAACTTTATTTGCGTTGAAAATGACTTATTGACATATATTCCAACATATAAAATTAGTCAGGATTATTTAGAACTGTTATTTAGTAGTATACGCTCACATGGTAGATATAACAACAATCCTACGGTTAAACAATTTAAGTCTATTTTTAAAAAATTAATAGTACATACAGAAATAAGGGAAACAAAAAGTGGTAACTGTATACCTTTAGAAGATATTTCAATATTACATATGCCATCAACACATAATCCAGTTGACATTATAAATGCTACAGCAAATCAAAATTCATATGAAAACTGGCTTAATGTTTTTGAAATCACAGAAACTGATCATGATTATTGTTCAGAAGTACAATGTTCATTTACTACAGAATATAAGAATGAAGTTATTACTTACATGGCTGGGTACATATTACGAAGACTTATAAAAACTTTACGTTGTCCTGAATGCCTCGAAACATTAATGGAACAACGTACAAACATTAACTGTAATTTAATAAATATTAAAAACAGAGGAGGATTGTTATATCCATCAAAAAATTTAGTATGTTTGTAAAAATATAGAAAACACATTAAGAAATTATACCAACATACATAAAACACTTGATCTATTCAATATAAATAAATTTACAAATGATATTATGTTACGATTTATTGATAAAAACATATTTGCGGAATTAAAAGACCATATAAACGATCAAAACTTTTATTCTAATCATGTAAATCATTTATTACGTGCGATAATACATTTATATACGAGTAGCTATTATAGGCGGGTTCTGCCCCGGGAGCTCCGAGGGGGGGTGAGGGGCAGGGAGGTCCGCGGGGAGGGGGGTCCGCGGGGGAAGCCGCGGGGAGGGGGAAACCGCTCAGAACGTTCACGGTCTGATGCGGGGTCCGCGGGGAGGGGAAGCCGCGACTGAGTCGACAAGGCACACA